GCACTGAAAGCTCGTGAAATGCCTCCAGAGCCCCGCCCCGCCAGTAACCCGGGCCGCGCATTGCCTGTCACCCTGCCCTGAACTCCAGCACCCTGGACAGCGACAGGCACCGCCGGGGCGCCTTCCGCAGCGGCGTTCAGCGTCCTCTTCGTGCGCCAGGGGCTTTCCCAGTCCTGCCGGCAGAAAGCGCCTGCTACCCGCTCCGGCTCTACGGAGCCAGTTGGAAGAGCTCCTTGTAACCGAGCCGGTGGGTCTCCAGAGAATCGCCGCCAACAGCTGGGTCCTCGGGTCTCTCTAAGGCCCTGGAGTCACAACCAACTTCGCATTGTCTGCGTGGGAAACCGGCACCTATTTACCTGGGTCACTTCGAATTGAATGGGCAGAACGTGAGAGGGATTTTCCATCACCCGTCAGATGCAACCAGCAGACTAGCTTGGAGCCACGCGTTGTTCCTCGGTGTATGGTACAAATAACGCCCTTGCCTGAAATCCCACCAGCAGCTCCGGCTCCTGGGGAGAGGGGACGGTCCCGGAATCAGCAACCCCTAAATCCTTAGAAAATTTGCCTCAAAGGGATCGTCGCTCAAGGACTTCAGGCTAAAGTCAGAGAACTAGCAAAAGCGACAACATGATGTGATTGTCCCTGAGGCTGCAGCTGCAGAACCCGCTCCGAGGCAGCCCAGTGCTAAGCAGCCGCCGGGCAGGACCCCGGAGAACTACTGCACCCTGTTAATGGACAGCGCCGCACACAAACTCTGCCCCGGCCGAAGGAGAAACTTTCCCGCAGCGGACGGTGGCCGAAGAGGTGTCCCCTGGCGGATCAGAGGGGTGTCGAAGCCATCGATTCAGCTGTGCGCACCCATAAACTTCACATCCTTTCAAAATGGAAGAGACAACTTACATTCTTGGATGTTGTTTCTAAAGAGAGCAATACACCCTGTAATTTAACAGCGGTACTTCCCCGGGCAATAGGTCAGGCGAACTAGGTTACTAGAAACCACGTGGCCCTGTGATGTCCTGAATGAAAGCGAAATGAAGCAAACTGCTGAGTTACGATTAGCACCTACCACCTTTTTGCTCAAGCAGAGAAAAGGAACAGAATTAGAATGTCACCTAGGGAGCGACTTATACGGAAATGGCAAATGGGAAAATAGAATCAAGGTTCAAATTTTCATTTAAACCATTTGTCTTGTAATAAACAATGAACAGTATGCGATTCATATTGCTTTTCAAGGGGGCAGAACATGATTTATAACATTCATTTCAGAAGACCTTCATCCACTGCTATCTGTTCAATAGTACAGAAATCATTTACTGCTCACAGTTATTTATATTGTCTGATTTTAGTGATCAGCAACCTACCTCTCCCGGGCATTTCTAACTGCCTTCATACAATGATTTTAATTACAATACACAGTCAAAAACAAAAGTCCATAACTATATTGTAAGGTCAATTTTTCATTTTTATGCATTCCTCCTCATGCCTTTTCCAGACACTTATTGTATATAGCAGCTAATTCCACAGCACAGTAGGAAAGCGCGTTTAACCAAACAGAGCAGCCTTAACAGAAATCAAACTCTGGCCCTGCCAGAAGCGGCTTTCCCCGTCAGTGGAAGTGTCACAATGAATTTACCTACATTCACTGGAATAGACTGAATTGCTAGCAACAAAGGAGAGAGAGTAAAATCTCTGGTAACTAGAACCTGCCTTTTAAAACTGTATTTTAATCCTCCCCTTTCCTGACTTCCCAGCCCCACATTTTTGACATGTTGCAACCTTTGACAACTTAACAGCAAACAAAAAATTGTGACCGCTGGCTGATATTCAGAGGCATGTGCTGACTGATCTGTAGAAAGACAACTTCAATGCCCTGAGCTGTCAAAATGACACTTCATTTATATTAAAATTTGGGATGTGAAACATTATCAATAAACATATCTAACTGTCTCTTGAAGTTACCTGCGTAAAACCAGTCCACACGAGAAATCCACTTCCTAGACACTACAGTACAGTTAAATAATGGACAAATTTCCACCACCCGCTATTGGAAACCCACTGACTGTTACACTTATCTTCATGCCTCCAGCTTCCATCCCAGACACATTTCTCAATCTATTGTATACAGACAAGCCCTAAGATACAACCAGATTTGCTCCAGTCCCACAGACAGAGACAATCACCTACAGAATCTTTACAGAGCATTCCTAAAACTGAAATACCCACTTGGAGAAGTGAAAAAACAAACTGACAGAGCCAAAAAAGTACCCAGACATGAACTACTTCAAGACAGACCCAAAAGAGAAAATAACAGAACTCCACTTGTTATTACTTGTAGTCCACAACTCAGACCCCTCCAGCACATTATACACAATTTACAATCCATCTTGGAAAATGATCCCTCTTTCTCAGAGGCCTTGGGAGAAAAGCCTATTCTCACTTACAGACAACTCCCCAGCCTGAAATGAATTCTTTCCAGTAACCATGCCACACAACCACATCATAAGCATCCAGGAACCCATCCCTGCAACCAAAC